CCCCCACACACTTCAAATGTGCAAAATTAAGTCTACAAAGAGACTAAAAGTTGACATTCCCACACATGATTTAAAAAAAACCTTCAGTTTCTGAAGCTTTTGTTTAACCCGCTGCACCACCATGTCCACCTCTCACTCCTGACATTGTTGCTCTTTATAGCATCTCACCTGATCTGGCTGAGATTGGCTACAATCATCCGTCATGGGCTCAGTTATCAAAAGCCTCTAAGTCAGTCGAGTCAAGCAGAGCTGCAGAAGTCTAGTGTCCTCTCAGACCACTTCAAATAAAATATGCATTGAAAAGACCCAACTTTTGTGCAAACAGCTTGTGTATAAAAAAAAAGTGACTCCAAATTAAATTTCTTTGCATGTTAGTGGTAATCGATACAAATTATTATGATGGGCCCAGGCACAAAAACTATTCCAGAAGATCTTTGAAAAAGTACAAGAAAAAAAAAAAAAAGATGTTCTTCTGTTTCAGTGTTAATGTTACAAAATTCACATTCATATCATCTGTGTTGAATTTGGAGTGTAAAAGTTCTTTACAGGGACAAACGTTATTTATTTATTTATTTATTTATTTATTCATTTAATTGGGGATAAATGTTATTAATTATTTTTGAATTGTCAATATGAGTAGTCTTGTATTCTTGTCTGGCAGTATTATTTTGAAGGCTGTGGCCGGATGTGCTTTTGTTGTGTTTCCGGTGTGTGGTCGGTTCCTGCCTGTCATGCTGAGGGACGTGGAGGAAATTGAACCGTCTATTGTGGCTACATGTCATGTGGAGGGGGAGAGGACCCTCAGCCGGTAGCTCGGTGTTTCCTATGTGAGAGCACCGCTGACTCAGCTCCAGCGGGACACACAGACCCAGACAGCGGCCCAAAAACACCAACTATGAGCGACTGTCCGCCCCAAACGCCGCTGTTCAGCTTCGGTGTCATAGCCGACATTCAGTACGCAGATATCGACGACGGGTTCAACTACACCCGCTCTCACCGGCGCTACTACCGGAGCAGCCTGCAGTTGCTCGGGAACGCTCAGAAAGGCTGGTGTGAGTCCGCCGTCAGGCCGGACTTCATCCTCCAGTTGGGGGACATCATCGACGGCTTCAACAAGCGCCACGGCGCCTCGGAGCGGGCGCTGGACTCGGTGCTGACGGAGCTGAGCTGCTGCCCGGTGGAGGTGCACCATGTGTGGGGCAACCACGAGTTCTACAACTTCAGCAGGAGCGAGCTGCTGCGGTCAAAGCTCAACAGCACACCGAAGACGGAGCCGGGCAGCAGCCCGAACCGACCCCCGGCTCCGGCTGACTGCTACGCCTACCGCTTCAGCCCGTTCCCCGGCTTCAGCTTCGTGGTGCTGGACGCCTACGATGTGAGCCTGCTGGGCAGAGACACGTCCAGCGAGCAGTACGGCAACGCTCTGAACCTGATCAGACAACACAACAACAACGAGGACCTCAACTGTCCCCCAGGTAGGATGATGGCTTTATTACCGAGAAATGTTACCTTTACTGCTTCTGTGTGAGTAATCTGAACTAACATGATTCTCGGTACTTGACTTTTTAGTGAATGATTCAGTACAGAAGTTAAAATGAGACTACAGTGGTCCTCAAATGTATTCATACCCTTCCATTAAAGTAAAGGCAAAATTCACAATAGTCACTCAAATAACTAGAAACTGACTAAAAGTAATAATAAATAAAAATTTGCAAAATTATAATTCAGTGAAATGAGACATTGCTTTTGAATTGTTATTGAAAACGCTGATTGGAAAAAAAAAAAAGAAAAGAAAAACTGTCCTGGACAAATTAGAGCACTTTGCTGATGAGCAGTGAGCCAACATCCAAATAGCTGTCAGCAGGTGCAGAAGTCTGACTGAGAGTTACAGAAAACACTTGACTGCAGTGTTCGGCTCAAAGGGTTGTTCAACAAAATATTAGTTTAGGGGTCCCATCATGCTTGTTTGCTTGTTTTGTTTTTATTTTAAATATTTCTGTTGAACCGCAGTTCAAAAGCAATGTCATGATTTTCCTTATTTTTTTTAAAATTTATTATTACTTTTGTCAATTTCAACTTATTTCGGTGACAGCTGTTTTTTTTTCCTGCTTTAATGGGAGGGACTGAACACATTTGAGGACGACTGCTACATGCTGCAGCTGTTCCATGGACTTTAGTCTGGTGATCTCTTTTTCAGGTAGACTGGTCAGACATAGACTCCATTAACAAGGACACTCCAGACACTGTTCAAACCCGAGTTTAAAATTAGTTAAACATTAATTTAACAAATGTCTTTCCTTTAAATCCTGACTGATTTGTCCAAGGACAGTCTGCTAGATAGATGTAGATGAACATTGTGTCTGAATCCTTGCGTTTCCTCCTCAGCCCCTGAGCAGCTCTACTGGACCACTTCAGTACAAACACACACAGTCAGTTGGCAGTAGTTGTAGAGAGGAAACAGCATTGCTGAAGAGCTCAGATTGCTTCATCACAGTCTCTGTACTGAGACTGCTAACAGACCAGTGGCGTTTTGATCAGTCAGTTAAATCTTTAATTTATATTGTACCAATGTCCCAGACTGCGGGCCAACTAACTGAGACCTTTGTGTTCTTGTTTCAGTGCCGGAGGGACTCGGGCAGAGGTTTACAATGTTCAATGGTGGGTTCAGTAAGGGCCAGCTGGACTGGCTGGATTCTGTGCTGTCCTCGGCTGATGACAAACATGAAAGAGTCACTATTGTCAGTAAGTAGAACTTGTTGCTCGAGGCACTATATGTGTCATTTAGATTTAATGATTTGCTCATTCAGGCATTTGGCTGTGTGATTTTAATTTGACAGATTGTGCCATTAAGTGATTTATATGAGGTGTGTCAGAAAAGTTCCAGGACTGGTGTCACAAAAGATATATTTCAAACCCAAACTCCAAACTATGAGTTTTCCCCTTCAGATGATCAACCAGCACGTCTACAAAGAGATCCTGTGGCGTTTGCTTTGCTCAGTGCACGAGAAGAGGCAGAGTTGTGGCAGAACAAGTCGTGGCTGCTTCACCATGACAACGCGCCTGCTCACAATACCTAAAGGTGACCACAAGTGTTTCATTGTCCTCTCCCAGGTCACCTCCCTGTGCACCCCAACTCCACAACAGCCATGTGCCTCGCATGGAACTTTGACGAGCTCCTCTCCATCATACGCTCCCACAGCAGCGTGGTGTGCTACATGGCAGGACACGACCATGACGGCGGATACTGCCAGGACAAAGACACAGGAGTGCACTACCTGACGTTAGAGGGGGTGATCGAGACGCCTCCTGACAGCGACGCCTTCGGCACCGTCTCCGTCTACGAGGACAGGATGGTGCTGAAAGGGAACGGCCGGATCAAAGATCGAGTCTTTCTATTTGCAGGATGCCAAAGTGACAACAAGCAGTCTGACACTTGCTGTAGCTAAAGAATCACTTCACAGTTTTTTAGTCCTGTCTTAAACTAGAAGGTGAAGGTGCTCATATCAACATGAAAACTGCTTTTGCTTCATGTTTATACTGGCCATGAAATATTATTTTTTATGCGGTTATGATTGGGGTAAAATCTATGGTTAATTTAAGGTGAACTTACCAAGTGGCTATCTTCCACATATGTGTTCATTTTAACGTAAAATCCCTTTTCTGTGCTTACCTCAACTATAGCTAGGTCTTTGAGGGTTGTTTTTTTTTTTGCCAACTTTTTAGAAGTATGGCAAAAGGAAATGTTTTTATTGATGCACCAACTTTTCCACCTCAGCCAAAGCAGATGTTCAGGTCTATATGAAAAGAACTTTAAACAATAACGACTTGATGTTTTTTTTTTTCTGTCTGAAAGTCTGCAACTTTAGACAGAGTTGAAAATGTTGTGTTCCTCAGTAATAGAGCTGTGGATTTTGCTCCTACTTATACTGAAAGTGCACTTGGAACGGATTGTTTAATGACAATCAGAAGAAACCACTCAATATTCAGATAAATTGAAAAATTGTGAACCTAATATTTGAGATTTAAAGATTCCTAAAGCTGTAAAGACAAGCTTGGGTTTTTGAGAGGTGTGTTGCAGACTGGAAAACAGAGAGGATGGTTCATTCTACGACAAATCAGGGCGCTTTATGAGTCACTTTACAGGATAAAATTCTAGCTTCCATCCCACAGCATAAGGATATATATGTTCTTCTCAGCTTCAAACACAGTGACAGTTAAGTTATTGTAATGAAAGCACTTCAGTGGAAGATAACTCTCTGCTTTTTTTTTTACTTATGTAAAAACACCAAGATGGGAATGCTTTACAAACATAGTACCTCAGTGAATTTATTGCACTTTTAAGTTTGTATTAGTTTTAAAATCAGGACAAAGTGTGCTCTTTCTGTTTTATTCTGGGGATAAATTATAATATTTATATGCAAATACTTCAGGGAAGAAGTGGGTTTTTTTTCAGTTTGAATTGCTGCCTTTTTGCAGTTGCACATAACTGACTCGTATACTGTTACGCTGCATGAGTGAGAAATTAAATTAGTGCAGCATATTGCAATATTGTGTGTACTCCAGTTTTCAGGTGATGAGATGAGCGTGAATGCAGATCTCTTTGGTTTACACTGTAAAGCAATGAGTTCATTAATAAAAGACATATAACACCAGTACACCATTATGGCTTTACATTGGAAATTTATGTTTGGATTTTGTTGTTGTCGTTTGTAGAAGTGGATGCCGTGATAAAATGTGTTGGAGGTTGTGTTGTGTGCGGAAGAAAGACCATGAACAGATCGAGTTTTGAACAGAAAGCTTCACCTTGCCTTGTATACAGAGTTTCCAGTGACTCTTATGATGCAATGATTGAAACACTTGTCTTTGTCAGACAAAAAAAATCATGTGTTTTGGTTATTTCATAAATTTAGCATATACATACAACTTGAATGACCTCTTTCGGTAATGTAGAAAGTCGTATTAATCAAGTTTTCTTCGTGGAATGACCTACCATTAAACATGGTGCCGGTAGTATCATGTTCTGGGCTGTTTTGAATCCAGTGGATTGGTGCTTGGATGTCATGTTAAATCATCATGAATGACTACAATATAAAACCCACTCACAGGGGAAGTGAATAACACCGATCGTCTTGTAATGTTCTGCTCGGAAGTGAATATTACTTTTACACGTACTATCCACCTAAACATTGCAGATTACGCAAAAGCACGGTCATCAAATGTGCACCATCAACTACCACATCCAACCTTATTTACTGATATATTTCTCGTATGTGCAGATGTCACTGTTCCTATTAAACACTACACATCTGAGCAGTCTTTGTGACTGAAGCTCCTGCCATCCGTGGCCTATCATGAAGATTTTTTCTGACTAAGCTGGCACTCAGCAGTGTTATCCGTGCCACAAAGCACGACTGGATGTTAGTTGCTTAAATGTATCTTGCAGTGCACCTGTGTGGAAGCATCTTGTTGCTCCACTCATTTGTTCACATTGTTCCTTTAATGCTCCACCTGTCTATATATAGCCACCATATACCCATCTCCATAGCAACTGAACAGACTCCATGTACAGACTGAAGGACTTATGACTGAGAGATGCAACTGAAAGCCATGACGCTGCCAGTAACACTGCTTTTTCACAAGGGAACTTCTGGCTCTGGGACCAGTTCTGTTGTAGAACCAGGGTTACACCTTTGGAACCAGCCTGCATTTCTGATAGAAACATTGCTTCACTCATATCTGTTCAAATTTGTCTGCAATTCTATACATGCAGTTTCTATGTCCAGGTGGCGTTATACATTAACATGGATAGGGATGTGGGTTTGTTTGCAGAAAATAACTTTACAGGAGCGTCACAGAGATGGTCATCTTGAAGGACGTTTCGATTCCTCAAATGCACCACCAGGAGAGATGCACAGGTGTATCTTTTGATATATTAAAGTGACCCGACACCTTAATACTTCATCACACGTGCATGTTAGATTAAGAAAAATGTGTCACATCTGTACATTCTTGTCACATTATGTCATGATGTAAACTGAATTAATAGTAAACATATGTAAGTTGTGATGAACTGCAAATGTTGGATGCTCAGAATGGTTCTAGATTATGTTCAGCATCCAGAACCAGAACCGTGATGGAACAGCCCTGTAAGAGGAGCTTGAGTTCAGGTTATTTAATCAAACTGTTATTTCAAAGGTCAAGAACAGAGGGGCACCATCTCCGGAATATGCTATCCTCTTTGACATGCTGACACACAGTGACAAGAACACAGCTGTAAAATAAATATGACACAAACTAATCTACTCAGCTGAATGACTCCCAACGACAACACAGAGAACATGAATCAGAAGGCAAAGCTACTGTAACACAGTGGAACACAGGAGCTCCTTCTGTCTACTTCAACATTTTCCTGGGAGAGTTGAGTGAATACAGTTTGTACATCATAAAATGTGATCATGTATAGCGTGTGATGAATTGTACAAGTTCTGAATATTTGATAAACAGCTTTATTTTAGAAACACTTAAAAACATCATGGCATATAATTATACCAATAAACACCACCTACAGTACAAGGCACATCTGATGAGAAAGAAAGAAAGAAATGTACATTTATGAAATAATAATAAAATAAATTAAAATAGAAAGGTAAATATAGATAAAGAAATTGATATTAAAATATATGTTCATTCATATTTGTGTTACCGGTCGTCAACTATTTTGTAGTTCCACAACAGTTTAACAACAGTTGAATTTCTGTCTTTAACAGCTTTGATGGTCTTGATGAATTTCTGGGTATGGCTCTTGAATATGCAAGATAAATGTAGGGATTACACTGTAGTTGGGTATTGCCTTCCCAAGACTGTTAGATTTCTTTGTAACAACATATTCAGCCCAAAATTGACATTCATTCATTAATGTATTTGTCCTGCATGTTTAAGGTGTGTCTTTGGTTACACTGATTCTAAGATATTTTACAAATGGTCTGATGAGGATACCACAAACAGTTTTAATCCTCAAACTTTTGAAAACATAATCTTCTGGTTTCAACTGCATATATATATATATATACGTACAAGTGATTGTCGATACAAATTAATCTAACAAGTTCTGATTTTGGGATTAAACAGTCAAACAGTCCAGTTTACTTAAACTATTATCAAGTCCTGATATAAAAACAGAACCAGGTGGGTCCACAAAGAATTATCTTGAAAATGATTCCTTAAATGATTCCCTATTTTTCATAAATTTCTTTGAAATGCATTTTAAAGTTCGTTAAAGACCCTCTTGCTAAAATATTTTCAAAAAATTCTCCTTCTATGGCATGTCTGCAAAGAAGCAGTTTGGGGTTCCATTTAGCACCTTTATTTTTCTGAGTGTGTCAATTAACTGAAAGACTTTGTGACAAACACCGCGCCGTGCAGTCGTGATTCGCTGTAATTCCCACGGTCCCTGAAGGCAGCAGCGGCTCAGACGTGGCCGTGGTGCAGCTGCTGCGTTCAAGTGGCGCAGTGTCCCGTCTGGAGGCAGAGAGGGCGAAGTTTCACTCTCTGCATTGCAGCCTGAGCGCTGCTGCCGGAATCCAACACAACAATGGCGACTCCCAGTCCGAACAGCAACTCCACAGGCTCCAGCAACAGCAGCGGCATCGTAGGATCCACGTCGCACCAGTTCCACCAGCAGACACAGAGCAGCAGCATGCAAGGTAGGCGAGCACGGCCTCTATTTCACTGCGCTCTGCCGCTGCCGGAGACTGTTGAGTTAGTGGTAGGAAAAGGTAGCTGGTAGCTTCCAGAAGCAAGAAACACTACAGTCAAGACAGACACAATGACTCAATCTGGACGGGCTGAGCTTTCAAAATAAAACACTGGCCGGGGCTCATGACAGGTGTGACCAAGTTAATACAATGTTTAATATTATTAGTATTAAATATGGTTGTTGTTTTTTTTAATTCACAACTATACTAAGCATTTGATACAAGCGAAATTTCTTTAATAATTGTATCTTACCAGCAGGGTAATTAGCTGCTTGTCAAGCTGCACTTTTATTTAGAAGGCCCATTTGGACAAGTTCCGGTCGCTCTGTAGCTGTCCTCTGCTGGCTTCACGTACCTCCCTGAAACTACACGGCTACCAGATTAGCAGTGATGCACAGGCTGCTGTGGAGTGTCTCAACCCACGGGCCTGTGGCGGCACACTCAAGTTTAATTCTATCGTTCCATCATTCTCCAAAAAGTGTCCCATGATAAAGACATTCAGAATCACTGTTTGACTCACTAGCCGATGTTGTTAGCACAGGCTGCTAGAAGTTGCTCCAAGGCCTACATTGAAGTGTGTTTCTCTGCCGAGCCAGGCCAGTGTTTCAGGGCTCCGCTGTCAGTGGCTCAGAAACGGTACAGTTCGTAGAGATAAAGCTGCTTTACTGATTATATCCATCGTGTCAATAACCGTGTTTAAAGGCTTCAGTCTTCTCTCACCGACAGACAGATCTTTATCGCTCGGTGTGTTGCTAACGGTAGTTCAGTTGAGAGTGCTAGCATAAATGACACCTCTGAGTTTATCCCTGCTGTACTTAAACTATGTAAAGTCATTTTTTTATTTATTCTTTTTTTTTTTTTTGGTTAAATTTCTAGCTAGTGTGAATTTTTATGCGATGCTACCAAGCCCACACTGAGATCCATTGTCGGACAGGAAGACAAGCCTGGTCTCGGCTAAAACCAGCACCAAGCTAACATTTAAAAAAAAAAAAAAAAAAAGCCCTGTTTGGTCACAAATGTCTATAAGATGCGGTGACACATAATACAAACTGGGAAAACCTCTCAGTGACAGGGTTGTAACGATTTGTAACGTTACTCAAAAAGCTTTACTTGATTACACTTCATATTGTCAGTGATCAGGTTCGTTAATTTCACTGCTAAAATCAGAAGTCTGGTGTCCTGCCAAAAAGTGGTCCTCTACTTAAAACCCCTGATTGCCATTAACTGGAGCACCTATCCTCATGTCAGTGCATTACTTTACCTGCTCTGTGTGTTGGGGTATAATAAGTCCAGTTGTTTTCACATGTTGAAAAAGCTTTAAAAGACCAATTCAACTCATGTTAACATAGCTTGCCACCTGCCAAATAGTGATCACAGCACTTACATTGACACTGAAATGTCCTTTATTCATCGAAATGACTTGATCTCATTTGTTAGCGCGATATTTTTAAGATTATGGCCTATATTGTAAATAGAAAGCACATTTCTTTATACAATACACAAAAAAAACATTACATTACAGTCTAAATAAGGATATTGGACATACCAAACACATGCAGCCTAAACATTAGAAACGGTTCACTCATATTTCCTACAATCGTCCTAAACGTTAGGCCTGATTAACATTCATTTGACTGTATTTGTTTACAAGAAACATTTAAGTTTCACCAAGACACCATTTTGTTATCTGTTATGTGTATTTGCATGTTATAAATCCAGTTAAAAGCAGCTGCGGATGAAAACTGGGCAATTCAGCTTGGACATGAAGCATCCAATTCATTTTAAAAGTCTAATCCTATGCATCAGTTGCAATAGTTCCTTTTTGGCAGATGGATAACAGCATTGTATGAGTCAAATTGGGCTTTTTAAAGCTATTTCAGCTGGTTGAAAGAGCTGGATTGGTTGTACTGTAGGTAAAGTTCTGTGGAGACGTCAGGGTAATAGCTCCTGCAGATCTGGTTTTTGGCAGATGTTCACTTTTCGGCATGAGACTTGCATTGCTTGTGTCCGATAATGGATGTGTTGATGGTAGCGTCTGGCAAACTGTAGGTTTGATTGATTTACTTTTTGAAGCCTTAACCTAATAAACAGCTGCACACTCATGTATCCAGTGTGCTCAACAGATCTGAGCTGCATTTTCTCACTGTGTGGCAGATGTCTAGTATCAAATGTTTTATCTAAACCTTGCAGAAACCAACACCTGCTGGAGATGTCAAAATGAAACAGGTATTCCCTCTTATTTTACTAGGTTTATAGTCTGCTGTTGGAGGATATTTGTTTACATTGTTTGTTTAGAGCATATCTTGGCAAAGGATTTCCTTGAAATGTTCCCTATCCATCCCCCTCTGTTCATCTTATTTTGTTTTAAAAATGTTCTTTCCTTTTTTTCCTTTTTGTAAAACCTGCATTTTATCCACTTATCTGCATGTTTTTAAGTTTCCATGTTAGAAGGACCTGAAGTAGACACAGTAGACAGACCCCATGTGATGAGACACCATCAAGCAAACCCCTGTCCGGAGCGTTTCCTTCACCAGCACACACATCAGAATGAGGCAGCTTCAGATATATGCTGGTTGTAGTGGCAGGACACTGTTAACCTCTGGTGCTCTGCTGTCAGTCGTGTTCTACTTGCAGACACCACTTCTCACTAGTATATGTCACTTTATAGGATGTTATGGCTGTTAACCACCTACAAACAGCTGATTAGGGCTGCTTCCCCAAACATTGAATATATTGTGCCAATGCAGCGTATAAAAGTGGGATGTTACTAATTCTCGTCTGGCATGTGGCGACTGTTACTGGCATATCCCTCTGCTCTGTGGTTCACCCGCAGCTATTGGGGTGAAATGAAAATGAATAGTTGATATTACTGCTGTGGTGTCTGTGCAGCCTAAATGGAGTGACACTTGGCCACCAAAAAATACCCTTTTTAATGATTGTTGTGAAATGCTGAATGCATCTTTTGCACTTTGCAGAAGATTGGTTCTTTTGGTTTATGGGTTTGGTGTATTTGATCTTATCATCAGGACACTGCGGTTGGCACTGGCTGCTTATTTCACTGATAATGTTTGCATCAGCATATACAAACTCCATATCTCCAGATCTATGAGGGTAGCGGCTTTTGGGCTGCCGCAAATATTTTGGTTGCAAAATCGCAGGTGACGTCTGAGAGAAATTGACAGGCAGACACATTAATACACCCATGGGACAAACAAGTCCTCAGTGTACAGCAACATATTCAGCTCGCCACTTTATTTATTGTACAAATGCTGTAGCAAATTAAAAGGCTGTGATGCTTATCAGTGCTGTCATGGAAATAAGATCAGGCTAGTTTGACTTAAGGACCCTCAAAGTCCCACATTAATTCTGCCTTAAGGCAAAGAGCACTTCAAAAACAGCAAAGAGAAATGTGGGTTTGAAGTTTAATGTCTGTGTAATAGATGTAAACTCGTAATTTTATGCTCTTGAAGGATGATATTCATCATTGTCAAAGCCTGAAACATTATTTAAATACTGCACTGTGTTTCAGTCTGGCATAAGGGTGAAACTGCATCACCAAACAAAATGTTCTTCTTGTAGCTTTCTTGCTCATTTACACTCATGAAATAGGTAAATATGTACATTTTTAATTAAATGCATTAAAATATGTAATTCAAACATTGCTTAATCAAGTAAAATTATGAATTTCACTGGAATCAAAGTGAAAAAGTAGCAGCTAACTGCGAATGTGCTCAGCAAGGCTAGTTAGCTTTTAGCAGCATTAGCTTACATATAATTTGCGATTACTGACTTTTTTTTTTTCTTCATCTTGATGAAATTCAACTGCTGTGTTGTTGGTGTGATACAATAAACTAAAATTACATTTTTAAGATGCCGGAGCATGAAAATTGAGTTTTCAAATATAACAAACAAGAAGAAGTACGTCTATATGAAGCAATATCATATAAGCAATTTCCACCAAAGGGATCAATAAAGTTCTGTTCTATTCTATGTAGCTAAGGCTATCTCACTACTGCAGCCATAGCTGTTTTGTTTTTGATGTTATTTTTTTTGGTGTTATATGACAAAATGACACATTTCTTTGGCATCATGCTGTTTGTGTAGTAGGGTGCTGGGTCAGATTCACGTCTTAATATTTTGTGCTTCAGTTTTTCAGGCAGAATTACCAAATGCTAAGCTAAAACGATGCCTTTTCTGCTCTAGAAAAGGCAGATTTTTATGGAATTATGGAAAATACATTGATTTGCTTTCTTTCCGAGAGTTTGATGAGAATTTAAATACCACTCTCATGTCTGTATATCGATTATAAAACCGTCATCATCAAGCTAGCAGCTGGCTAGCTTAGCTCACATTAAAAGGTGTAATTGGGGAGAGCAGCATCCAGTATATTAATGTTATGGCGTAAGACACCAGTTGTACAGTGTCAGAAGTGACATATGCAAAGCAGAATGATCATGATAGTGAGAGGTATCTGCCAGTGGAACATGACTGACGTAGACTACTTGAAACAAGAGTTGCATACCATCAGTTTTCAATCTCACTGGTTCTGTTTCTAAATATGAAGTAGTGCTGAAGTGCTGCCTGTAGGGGGTGACACTGAACGTAATTCATCAAAAGATCCTTTTCATGTATTCTCCTGTTGGGCTAGCATTGGCTAAACCTGTTAAAATGAAACTATTTCTCATTCCTTTGGGAATACAGTCCAATAAAAGCACACCAAGTTAGCCATTCAGTTGCATGGCCGTGCAATGACCCACCAAAACACTGAACTTGTGTTACCAGCTAAAGCACATTCAGAGTAACCTGTCCTTTATTCCACTTTCAGCGTTGACTCTTGTTGGGATGGCACTTGTTAATAATGACCCATTCACACTTAAACAAGCCCTAAGAAAATGTAGTAAAATGTCTTTTCTTTACTTCAGGGTTTCAGATAAGCCTGTCTGGAGTGCCCCAAAGTAAGCATTAGACTCGCACACAAAGCACACTGACCTCTACTCTTTGTGGGTACACCTCAATAGTCTACAGTGGTCTCCTTCCCCTCTGCGCCGCTCACTGAGCCGAGCGTATGTCCAGTTGTTGGCTGGAGACTGGGCATAGTGCTGCTTAGTGACGGATCTGCTTTGTTGTTGAGCCGCAGATTCTTGAAATAATTGGATAGAACAGGTGAGAGGAAGCCACTGTTTACTACTGAAACAGCCTGTGTGGTGCTCTGGTAGTTGGGGAGTCTGTCCACTGTTCACTGCTATTAACTGTTACAGATTCAGTTCTGGTCTAGAAAGATTCATTTGCATCGGGGCTTAAAGGTTAAGGGATCTGTTTGCACTCAGGAGCTGGTTGGACAGGGCATGGCAAAGAGGGCTCAACACTTCAGCTCAGCACTGTTAATGATGCCTAATCCTAACTGTTCAATATATTCTGGATCTACACTTACACTTACAGGTAATGCACCTGAATCCATTTAGCTAGTCTGAATCCATCTTCAGTCTCGTTAAAGTGCTGTTTGAGTGTTGGCTCGCTTTGACTTTTACTCAAGGGAACTGTTCAGGTTTGAATTGCACATGTTAAGAAAAATTATCAATGGAAATGTCTTGACCAGGGATTCCCAATGTCAGCACCTTGATTATTGCACAGCAAACTATTCTAGTAAGTTGCAAACGGGCTGCATGTGATTCATTTGGAAGCATACAGCTAAAAGAGCTGGTGCCCTCACTCTGTCTGAGCATTGGGAACCCCTGTCCATGTGGGCACTTTGCTTGTGTTCAAAATGCATTTTGTGCTTCCTCTGATCTTGAGATAACCCCAAAGGTTGATGCTCACAATTGTCGAGTCATCAGATTAATTCGTTACAGTGCACAACAACGTGCTGATACTTGGATCATGTGGAAGTTTTGCGGCACAAATTTGGTGATATTGCTTTTTGTGCACATGACGGCTTATCTCAAGTGTGCACAGATGTGTTACTGAGGTACGACAAGCATTTTATCACACTGTGTGCATCCTCCGTTTGCACCAGCGGGTTGAAACCCACAGTGTGGCGTGCATGTTGTGGCAATCTGGATCTGTTCCTCTCTTTATCCCACCAGGTAAACGCAAAGCTCTGAAGCTGAATTTCGCCAACCCTCCAGTGAAACCGACCTCCAGGCTCCCGCTTCATCCGACAGCTCCCTCTTTCCAGAACCCTCACATGTGAGTAGACAGTTGGGTTTGGATGTCATTGGAGTTCTGCTAGATTTAAAAAATACACCAAAAAATACACCAGATAATACACCAGATGTCTGTGCTATAAACCAGAATTTGAGTCTAGTGAGGTAACTTTGTGAAACCCTGGCTTATCGGGGTTATGACAGCAGGCAATTATAAAGCCGTTTCATTGCTTTATTGGTCTTTGGATAGCTTTATATTCCTAAAACAGAGACTGAACAAGGCTGAAATTGTCTTATATGCCAAACAAACAGCCTACCTCTCAGCAACAAATTGAATGCAACACATAATTGTGATTATAGTCAGATCTACTCATGCCTTTATGATGGTATCATGATATTGATAAGCCTATAAACGTACACATTTGAACCATCAGTATTGTTTTGTGAGCTTTCCTTCCTGCGTTGGCTGCAGCAGCTATGGTACCTTTAGCTTGTATTATATTTGCTCAAATTAGTTTACGATGATAGTTTGTTATTCTTGTGATAAGAAGACGACCGTGTTCATATTTGCAAGTGCAATATGTTTTTGGTTTTGTGGACAAATTTCTAAATTTCCTGGCATGTCATCAACTGTAGTAAACATAGCAGGAGATGTGTGTGTGTTTATAACAGCATGTATGTGTTCTACGCAAAAAAGTCAACAAAGCAGGGGCCCACCCTTAAAATATTACTTTATAGTGCTACTGGAAGTCCAGAACTCCACACAGCACCTATAATGTCAGGAACTCAGCGGTTAAAGGAGAGTTTTGGTTTAAAAAATTTATAAAATAAAACAAATGCTTTGTCCAGATTTCACCTCTCATCAAATATCACAAGAAATGACAAAGCCACCACATGGAACCTTTAAATGTTTCCATTTCACAGAGGCTTAGTAATGCTGATGAAATATTTATCATATCGCTGTTTATCCATAATGTATGTTCTTCTCTACACTGTCTTTTTCTGTATCTTCCTCCTCCTTCCCCTTCCTGTGGCCTCCTCCTTCCACTCTGTCCTTTACGTTACCTCATCCCATCCGGTCCCATCCTCCCCGGGTTCTCCAGAGAGCGTCTGCGGACACACAGCATCGAGTCGTCGGGGAAGCTGAAGATCTCCCCGGAGCAGCACTGTGACTTCACTGCGGAGGACCTGAGAGACCTCGGGGAGATCGGTCGCGGGGCGTACGGCTCCGTCAACAAAATGGTCCACAAACCCACAGGCCAGATCATGGCTGTCAAGGTGATCTGCTGATAGACTCTCACACTAATAGATACCCTTTGTGTGAGCTCACTTCATCTAGACCAAGTAATTAGTTCAAAATACAGACTCTCATGTGTTTTGTGTTGTGCGTCCCTCAGAGGATCCGCTCCACCGTGGATGAGAAGGAGCAGAAGCAGCTGCTGATGGATCTTGACGTGGTGATGAGGAGTAGTGACTGCCCCTACATTGTTCAGTTCTACGGTGCCCTCTTCAGAGAGGTGTGACAAACCCACACTGACCTCACCGCTTCATTCTCAAATCCTGTCTTGTTTGGCCCTTACATTGCAGCAATATAGTGAATCTATTATTTCATTGTGAATCATTAATATAGTCATCGTGAACTTATTGAGTTATCCAGTAGATGTTACTGCCAAGTGATTTTGTTTTTGTAAGAAAATCAACCTTTCCCTTTTTGTTTCAGGGCGACTGTTGGATTTGTATGGAACTCATGTCTACCTCATTAGACAAATTCTACAAATATGTATATTGTGCATTAGATGACGTCATTCCAGAGGAAATATTAGGCAAAATAACATTAGCAGTAAGCAATTATTTCATGTTTTCTTCATACATTTTACTTGTCATAGTGTGCGTAGCATCAAAACTGAACAGGTGTCTTCTGTCTTCAACAGACCGTTAAAGCACTGAACCACTTAAAAGAAAACTTGAAAATAATTCACAGAGGTACGTCTTTATTTTGTCATATTAAGAACTGCATTCCAGACTCTATTTGTCTGATGCTACTCTCAATGTGATGGTCCCTTTCTTTCTTTGTAGACATCAAACCTTCCAACATTCTAATGGACCGAAAGGGTAATATCAAGCTGTGTGACTTCGGCATCAGTGGCCAGCTGGTGGACTCCATAGCCAAGACCAGAGATGCAGGCTGCAGGCCTTACATGGCGGTAAGCAATAAAAGTAATGTCTGAGACATTTGTAGCCGCTAAGGTTTTGAGGACCTCAAAGTTTCATTTGTTCCTCATTCAGAAGTGGAACCTTCATCACAAAGTATGATGTTTTGTTTATTTTGTATACGTCTGGCTCAGTGAAAGCTACAGTTTTGTTTTGGTTACTTCAGGGCTTTGGAAGAATCTAAGATAATTTAAGGTTTTCCAAACAGGTAAAGGTGGGGAATTAATTGTCTCATTCCCTAACCTTAAATGCATGTCTCGGGCCTTGAGTGCAGCAGGATTATAGTAGTATCCTTTCTAATTCCCTGATTTTTTATTCAGTTAAGCTCTGAGCTACCGAGTGTCCCTTGTTGTTCGACAGTGTTCTGCTATCAAAAAGTCAAAAGGGATTAGAAGCATTGTTTTTTTGTTGTTTAATGTTTTTCTCAAAAAATCTATAGAGTCATATCCCCAAGTTACGTTTGACCTCATGGTGGCAGTGTTCCCTCAGTGTTTTACAATGAATACATTCATACACAGTGGTGATAAAGCCCAACCCTACAGGTCACTGGAACAGTAACATAGTTGTGCAGGCTTGGTAGAGCAGCATATTCCTTGATATCAAGGGGTTTTGATGACAGTAGTTCTGGCAATAACAACCCAAGATATTTTGGAGTCTATGAAAGAGACCCAAGCATTTAGAGGTTATTGGTAGCATATCATTCACACTTTATTTGTGTTGTAATGTTCATTCCTGGCTAAATTTGCAATTGTTATCAAACAGTGACAAAGTCAAAACGTGTTTTCAGAATTGTTTGCGTATTTATACAGACATTCTTGAACTGTAATTTGTCGTTTTCAAACATATTCCAACGCTTAATACAGCACTGTGTAGAGGACGCTTTGGAAGCAGTCACAGCATCAAGACTTTTAGATAGATCTTTGCTGGCACACCTGTAGAGAAAAACTGACTGTATCTCTGCTGAATGACTAATGACAAAAACAACTGGGATAGATTTTTTTTTGCTGAATCATTAAGTTAAAATGTTTTGTCTGTGGATGTATATTTTTAACTTTATGTTATTAGAGCAGAGTTGTTCTTACTCTTACTTGTTCAACATCTCTATCACAGTAAATGCCAGTACCATGGGAAAATGGAATCAATTTCTTTCAGCTCGACTTCTATCTTTATACTCGGTCTAGACCATATCGAGATTAAACCGTGAGGGTTTTGTTATTACTGAGCAGAGACAATAATGTTCAGAGTCTTTGACTAAAAATCGACTGAAAGTAAGAATAACTTTTGCTAAATACAACTAGAATCCAGAACCAAGACAAAATGAAATACCCTCAAACACATTCAAAATTTGAATGTATCAAGAGCATGATTTAACTCTATTGGTTGTAACAAGCACTGTCATATTTAGATTATTATCATTTTAACTTGACCCCTACAGAGAAATAGTTTTAGGGAAAAGCCACCATGATGATGAGTGACTTGAATGACATGCAGGAGTTGAAACAAGTTGAACCTTTAAGAAGTCTTAGGGATCTGTTACACTGTAGACCCTGACCTCTCTGTGGGAACGAGCCAATGAAGTGTCTGAGTTTTACAGAATATTTTAATTGTTTGTTTTCAGCCCGAAAGGATAGACCCCAGTGCTTCCAGACAAGGTTATGATGTCCGATCTGATGTGTGGAGCTTGGGAATCACTCTGGTAAGACAAATAATGTCGTCAGCTTGATGGTGAAACCTTACCTTTGTTTTGTCTGACCACACTGGAATCAGAGCTGTTACAAGACGGAAAATCCACTCTGTCAGCCCGTCACAAGTCCCTGTTTGTGTTTGTTTTCAGTATGAGCTGGCCACAGGAAGGTTTCCTTACCCCAAGTGGAATAGTGTTTTTGATCAGCTGACACAAGTGGTGAAAGGAGAGCCTCCCCAGCTCAGCAACTCCGAGGAGAGGCAGTTCTCCCCCAAGTTCATCAACTTCGTTAACCTATGGTAGGCACCATTACATTCAGTACTGCATGGAGATCCCAGACAGTAGATGTTTGGTTTGGATAATTAGCTCAATTTTATGTATGTATTTTGAGCTTGGCCATTCTCTAATTATACTCATCTAAAGTCATGTATAATCTGAACACTTGGTCTTTTCTGCTCACAGAGTTTTAAAATGTGTTCTTTTTCCGTCCAGCCTTACCAAGGATGAATCAAAAAGGCCAAAGTACAAGGAGCTTCTGGTAAGTTACAGCTCTCGTTATTTTAAAACTGTTTCGTGTTGTTGAGTCATGGAAGCAGAATATGACACAAAGACAATCCTTCCAACAGGACATTTAAGATCAATTCACAAAACAGTTCCCACTGCTTATAATCACAGTGGTGCATATTTTGATTGATTTATTTATTTTTTCAAACATAACTGGTCCAGTGACCCCAGCCAACTGCAACACAGTGGACCTGGGGCTTGTAGGATCCCAAAATGACTTTTAGTAAAGAAATCAGTTCTTTAGTTCGTAAACTCATGAAATAATGTTGACTGTTGAAGCTTTAAAGCTGCACTGATGGTTTTATATAAGAAATGGGTCAAATGATTATGTACCAAACACAACGTTTCCTCTTAGCTTTAGCCTTTTTTTCTTTTTAGCTTATTGTTTTTTCTTCAACAGTTGTCAGTGTACACATAAACCTAACTGGTGAAACATGTAAGAAGCTGAATTTGCTAGCACAATAAATATTTCCCTCAGCAGGAACTTTACTCGCTATCACATTAACCAGAACAATTACAGAAAGTTATAATATATCAGGGTTGTGTTTCCGAATCAAACATCAGTGCAGCTTTAGATGTAAGCAAGGAGAAGCATATTCTGCTCCATGAAATCTTACCTTTACACCGATTGTTTTTTGCTGCTTCTATAGTCTGTGTTTATATCAAATACAGGCACAGTACTGTTTATTTAAATGCCCCACAACCAGTTAAACAGTTATCGCTAACTTCAAACCAGCTAGATAACTCAGGAAAGGCTATGACTTCAGTGTTACACAAATCAAACTGAAGCTTTGTGTTCTTTCCCTTCAGAAACACCCCTTCATTCTGATGTATGAGGAGCGTTTCGTGGACGTCGCCACCTACGTGTGTCGCATCCTTGATCAGATCCCTGCCTCCCCCATCTCCCCTATGTATGTTGACTGACTGAGTTAGCGTAGGGTCAGGGTCGGGGTGGGTGGGTGGGAGGTTCACCCAACATGCAGTGGGTGGGACACAAAGCTTTGTGATGCAACGCTTGACATCTTAGCCCTCAGAGTTACGTAGGATCACCTGTTCATTCACACGTTCCAAAGAACAAAGGAACTAAGTCCTAATTGCCCGGTGCAATGAGATGAATATTAATAAGCAAACCTTTCCACTTTCCATCACCTCATTTTAAAACCTAAAATATCATCCATCTTTCACCCACAAAACCTTGAAGACATACCATTGTCTTAGTAAAATGCAATGCATCTTTTTATGTGAGGAAAAAGGAATAGAGTATACATATATGGAATATATATACTTGAACTCGTTGTACACAAATACAGAATCTACCAAATAAAATGTTGAACAGTGACGCTCATGACATATGAACAAAAAAAAATAGCCACCTAATGGATTGTACATTGTGGACTGTATGTATGCATATGTGTGTTCACCTCTGAATTGTTGACATGATGTATGCCGACAGACCTACTGTCTAAACAACCACACTCTTCATGCAGTCTGTTGTGACCACCTTCACTCAAGGTAAATGAATGAGTAATGCAAAAGTGTTTCTCTCCGGAAAGCTCATGGATTCGGTAGCGTGGCTTTACTTATTTGCTTTTGTTTTTGTTTTGTTTTTTTCAATATGCAATCTGTGAGAGTTTGTCTTGATACAGGATTGGCACGATTGACATTTCTCACATCTAATGCTGGCATCAGTTTGTATCTCTTGTCTATTATCATTACGGTTGAGTCACGTTGCTTAGCATCTGCTTTCCTGAAATATAATTGTATCTGTCGGTGTTGCTTAACTGCACAGTCAACTCGCAGACTTAAAAAATACATCCTAGACATTGACTAGCTGTAACTGATGTAATATGCCAGGTGTTTATGTTAACTGGTAAAAGTCAACACTACGTAAAAATCAGAAGCCTGCTACCAAAATGTATCCTACATAGATCTTTGTTAAATAGGCAAAAAAAAAAACAATGGTGTTTTTGTACAACAGATAATTGTAGGTGCCTTTTATATACCATAACTATAGCAGGATAGTTAACTGCAGCCAATATTATTGATATACAAATCAAATAAGACGTCACTTCCAGCTAACGGTACGTCTCCATTCGGTTGGACCCAAGGCAGTAGATTAAAAATCTTTTAATGCGCTGCAAATAAAATCTTTCAGTCAAAAACAATTGTCAGCACAGTTAGCATTGGCTAAAATACGACACTGCTTACTACGTCTACCTGAGTCTTTGCTAGCAAAGACCGGCAGGCTGAGATAAAGTGTGTATGAAAATGTCCATTAGCATCGGAGCTCAGCAAATCACTATATTGTTCTAACTGAAGAGGAATGACGTATAACTTGGCTTATTTTGTACAACACAAATTATAAATATGTATAAAAATTGTATTAGTATTTAAAGAATATCTGCTAATGAAACTTAGAAACGTATAATTGACACTGTGCGGCATGAGCACGTCGTGCCACTTCGAGCTAACGGTACATCTTCGTTTAGTTGCAGCAAACTTTTTTTTAACATTTATTTTGGTGCAAAAAATAAATAAAATTTAAAACCGGATGACCAGACAGCGCAGTCAACTAACTTAAATGAACTTAAAATAAAAAGCCTGCTGGGTAAATTTATCCTCCATAGACCTTGCAAATGAAAATAGGGCAAGGGTTTACTGTTAGCATTATGCTATGTGTCATGTGTAGCACTGGAGCTACTTGTGACATGTACATTTTCTTGATTTATACAATGCAAAAGTAAAAATTAGAAGACTGAAATATACCTAATAATAATAATAATAAAACGCATAAGCTTTTGGCTACCATTGTACAAATTAAACATGTCACTTCTAGCTAACGGTACACTTAATGTGTAGTTGCGACTCACAAAACAGGCTGAACATTTTTTTTCATTGTGTGTAAGTATGTTTTGATTAAGATGGGCAGAAGAATCTTTAAAAAAGAAAAGAGAAAAAAAAGTACCCTGAAAACTGCAATGTGTCATTAAATGACATGATCAATGATTCATTTCTTGGAAAGAAAGATGCTTAGTTTTGTGATTTAAACAGAATGGTAACGTGTAAGAGGCACTAACTGGGGTTAGTCCAATGCTACATTGCCTGATGTAAAGTTACTTTAGGACAATATGTCCACTGATGTAAATGTGTATGTATATAGTACATCTAATCTGCTGTTCCTGACAGGTTCTGCCCAACAGTTAAGGCTCATTCCTAAACAGAGATGATTAAATCAGGTGGGGAGCAGATATGGATGCTGGGAAATGCTTCAAAATGAGCCTTAGTCCTCCTTGGCAGCGGCCTGTCTTAGCACTGTACAGTTCAACTGCTCATTCACACTGATCACAGGTCCACCATGCTGCCATTCAATGGTGAGCAACAGTAACTACATTTTCAAAAGTCCTGGCGGGAGGTTCCTGTCCAAAAAAGATAACTGTAAATGCTGCTAAATCACAAACTATCCACTTCCATACCAACCACACAACTGTCAGGAGAGGAGGAAGCTCATTCCTCACATAGTTACTGCTCTTTGACCCTTAAGGTCACCGAGGGCTCGGCATGTTTCTCCGTGACTTGGCATGTCTCTCTGGCTTGCACTGATGATAGAATGTTTCCACACCAAACCATGTATTACACTCTGTGTGCATTTCCAAAGTCCAGAGCGCATTGACTCACCTGTCTTCCTTCATCTGCAGTGATAGACTAAAGTTTACCACACTGGGGCAGATAGAGGTAAAGGGGAGGACGCAACTTTGAGACTATTGAGATTCACATATTGTCATTCCCTCTCAGAAAGCCACGTCTACCAGGCGGGTCTCTCCCCCGCAGAATGGAAGGACAACCTTCACACTACTTGGAGTTAGCTACGAAACCAAATTGTCTATATGGATGGTGGTCCTTCCACACAGGGACACTGTAGAGACCCATGATGGAATAAATACATGAACAAAGCTACCATTTTTATTTTATTTTTTTGTGAACAAATTTCATGAAAAGTTCAAAATTAGCAGTGTTAATTTGTCCACATTTTCTTTGCCCTGTCTGTTGCTTGGCAGCCCCAAATCCACTTGTATCACAAAATGACTCATAAATGCACACCGTAGTAAGGCTCAGGAATTTCAGAAACCTGATAGGCACTGTGGTGTGTAAGTAAACCCAGTAAACTCTTCTTGAACAGGAGGAGACTGTAAACTTGTTGGGGACATTGGGTAATTCCAACATGGTGTATGTAGAATTGAAAGACAAAAAATACTCAACATGTTTTGTTAATGGTCTTTTCATAAGATGTGTTGACAGTAAGAATATATCCCCTTAAACCCTTATAATTAACAACATAGCAAATGCCAGTAATATGAAGTAATTAAATGTGATTTAGTCTATGACATTAATCCAAGAGTACACAGAAACAAATGTGACTGTCTTGATTTTGTCACGTGATCCAAGATCAGATTGATATGTATCTGTTAGAACGATACTGATATTCTTTCTCTTTCAACTTGATGTTGAAAAATGCATTCTTATCGCTGATTGATGACACAGACTGGGAAAAGAACAGTCTTTCATATGGAGGAAGCTCTGAAACCCAAAAGAATAAGCTTGATGACCTCATCAGTAATCCTCCCTATGACATCGCAACCGCACTTAATTTGTAATATCAAGGAAGTCCCCTTTAACATTTTATTTAAAGTTGACAACATGGGCTCTACATGTGTGTAAATGTGGAAAATGGCCACCATCGTTGGTGTGTGTATGGTGAGGGGGTGGGTTCAGGGCCACTTGTTAAAAACAGACCTGTTGAATACATGTGCCCTATTCAGGAAGGTAAAACATTACAACCAAGTTGGTGGAGATGCATTGTAGACCAGACACCATTCTCTCTGTGGAGAATTCTGTCAGCTCTGTTCTTTCCATTTCTATCTGTAACGCAAAATGGTGCAAATCCCAGAGAAAGGCCACACATGGATCGGTTTTGACTTCGAACTGTCTCCAGGTCTGTTCTTCTGTCATGGGATGTGCTTCCAGGAAGCTAACTTACCACTGGTGAATATGAATCTCCAGGGTACATGTTGTACAAATTGCAATTTACTAGAATGTTCATATTAGATTATAAGATAATATTAAGGGCAATGAATATTATATTGTATCTTTATCAAGGGTTACAAATAAAGTTCCCATGGAAAAGATTGAAAACCTGTATTGTGTGCTTCTTGTGAATTGGCCATGAATAAAAAGATAATGCCGAAATGATTTTTGCTGTGATAAGTTTATTGCTCTTCGTTCTGTAGTATACAGGGATGCAGGCAAAATACAGTTTATTATTAATAATTTTTTTACAATAGTAAAGCAAGTCAGTGGCCAAGCAACATAGAAGCTTCTGTCAGATGTGAATTTTCTTTCTTTTTTTTTGAATAAAGAAGAATTATTGCAAAATGACCAAAGCGATTAAAAAAAAAAAAAAAAAAAAAAAGGCCAGAAGATATTCGTACAACAGACGACAGAAAAAAAAGTATCAGCTTTGTCATACAATGAAGATGGGCATTAGTAGCTTACATGTAACCATAGAACCCATTAAACAAGTGCAACACTTCATAAGTAACAGGAAAAAGCAATATTTGGTCAAAACAACACAATGTGAGACCCACGTTTACAGAGGACGTAACTATAAATGCAAGAAATCTGTTGGCCAATGTGTAATTAATTTGGGAAATAACTCTAACCCAATTTCTTCCTGAGAGTTTGATGAGAAGATCCACAGCACTTTCACATCTGCCTAACACGTGTCGTACTGTCAGATGGTTAGCTTAGCTTAGCATAAAGGCTGGAGTCAGGGATAAACAGCTAGCCTGGCTGTAACAGTCCACGTAGGCTAAACATGGTAACTGTAGACAACGTCGGTGTGGCCTAAAAATGCAAAAATGAAACCGCAAATGTCATTGAATGACTAGAACTAATATTCATTTTTGTCAAACGACTTAACTCAACATCAGGTGCCAACACTGGTCATGGTTTTACAACGAGTTTTTAGTGGGATTTGGCAAAAACACTTGGCAATCTTTAGCAGTGCCAATGCCGGCTGAGCATACAGGTCAATTTATATGGAATGTCTGTAAATTACAAGGATTTTCTCTCATTTCTTACAAGTGTATACATAAATTCAAATGGGTTTTAAAAGATCCACCTCAAAATATGTGTGGGAAAAGTTCAGTGTGTTGGTTGCCACAGCCAGCAGCAGACTGTGTTGCAAAGCAAAACTTAAGCCCCGACCTCATTGTCAGGGCATCAGATTGTGGCTGAATCTCCCTTTGCTGTATATTCCTCTGGTGCAGTTTCTATTTAAAGTGTTCCTTCATGCCTTACACACCAGATGCTACCACTTCGATGTCTCACATACAAACAGTGCAGTGTACAATGACACAATTTATCATTGCTTTTGTCAAAAACTAATACATTTTGTTGCCATCTATAACACCTATGGATTTTTCATTGAATGATTCACATGGGCATCTGATTGTATGGATGAACTAGCCAAGATGACTTGAGCTTGGGGAATACTCTATATATTGCAAAAAACAATAACCAAAACATGGAACTCACTGTGGCCTTGTGTTCGACATGGCACAAAGAGGGAAAACTACGTAAATACATAGTGCTTTCGAACGTAGCCATGCTAGCTGTTTCTCCTGTTCCCACTTTTTAGACAAGTTAAGCTAATGAGCTTCTACCTGTAGCCTTACAGTTAGCTGACAGATCACCGACTGTATATAGAGGAGAAGTAGTCTCTGGGTCTGAACTATGGAAGTACTTTCAACATGCATTATTTCTTACAGCCAGCAGGGGGCGACTCCTCTGCCTGCAAAAATAAGCCTGATAGCATAGAAGTGGATTAGAAAATGACCCTACTTCTAACTTGATCTGCTACCTCAACAAACATTTTCCTAATGAGTTTATAGCCTAAATTGCTGGTTTCAAACTTGTTGTAGCACAGCATGGTGTTAATTTTGCATATTGTGGTCCTTTAGGGCGGGGCTACCTTGTGATTGTCAAGTTGTGGCTGTCGTCAGGTTCTACAATCAGATCCAACGCCTGTTTGTTCAGGACCAACATGGTGACGGCCAAATTTCAAATTCAAGGCTTTTAAAGAGAGTCCACAAGCTAATGGAGCCATCATGGCCACTACATTCCTCCTTTATATACTGTTTATAGGACAGATATATGAACCTTATCAACCCCTTCAATCTAACTCTTTGCAAACTATGACTGTGCCCACTTGCATGTGTAAAACGTGTTTTACGTGTGTCAAATATGACAGTTCCTCACCAAAACTGAAACCTTGTAAGTGTATAAGTCTGAAATCCTCTCTACTGTGAGTCTAGGCTGGCTCTGGTCTAAATTTATTCTGTTTTATTATGCAACATTCACATTAAAGATCTGAATATATTACATTTTCCTATTCACAAGTGCTAACAATGGACATTTCAGAATTACATGGTTCTTTGAAGAGAGGTGATTTAAGAAAGCTTTTCAAAGTGGTTCCTTCACTTCGCATCACATTTTTAAGAGAACTGATTTGTGAAGAAATGTCAGTGGTCAATAATGGTAGTTTGTCGTGAATCAAAAAAGAGCCCCAATCTGTTAGAAAGGAATGTCAGTATAAATACAAGATCAAGTATAAATACAACAGCATAAAATAAATAAATGTGATTGGCCTGGAAACAGAAACGGTGAAATTTATAATAGCGAGAAGAAAAAAAAAATAGAGATGTTTTATATTTCATTGGAATTTGTGTTGGAACTTTCTAAATTAAAATCTGTCAAAAGCTTTCATGGAATAGCCATTTAATATAAAATTGTAAAAGGGAAATTTAAAAAGATTGGAATAATAAGTTGTTTCAAATAAGGCACAGTTTGGCTGCCGATTAAAACTGATAAGACCAAAAGATTTCAAAGACATTCATTTCTCTCCATTACGTATGTATCCTGTAGATAAATACACCAAATAGTGAAAATAAACTTGTATAAAAAAAAAAAAAAGGTTCCTCAAAGGTATACCAACCATTTCTACACACGTATTCTAAGCTCAAGCAGACTGTGACAAATGTGTATTAAGCTACAGGTGCACAGTGAGTTTTTTTTTTATATTTCATATTTACATCAAATGATGAACTGGTTACATAATACACTTGATTTGTGGTCTCTGTCTTCTCCCACACCACTGACAAAATATGCAGACATCAGCTGGTCTATGTCAGTACACATAGTTGTGATATTTACAATATGGCCAACACACTAAGCAATCCAATTCACCTTGTAATTCCTTTCAGTTTTTTTTGTGTTTTTTTTTTCCAGTAATACAAACATAGACTCAGAACAGTATACATTGATTGTCAAATTGTGTCTTCAAGTCTAGGTGGTGTAACACTGATACTGCAGAAAGTGTTGGCATAAAGCTCTGTAATCATGTCTTTCCATTATATAGAAAATCCTTCATGTATCCACTGTCATACTAACTTGGCAGCTGTGTGCATCATTGTCCAAACAGGACAAAGATCATATCAAGGAGCACCTGGTCTTTGGTTTCTGGGTTTGACGACAACTTGAGAACGTCATTTCAGAGACATAGAGAAGATATAGTTCAATTTTCTGACTTAACCTTCAATCTCTGGATGTCGGCTAATGGTTTACTTATTGTAACATTCCACTGTGTTATAGCAAGGAGCTAATTCTGGCACTTGGACTGAAAGTGTTAAGAGTGAATTCAATAGTTCTTTGGTATTGTCATAGCTGATACCAGTGGTCCGTACAGCTACTTGCAAGCTGGTGTCTTCTGTTTGACAGCTGGTGAAACACTTTGTCGGCAGTGTTGCTTTCACCAGTGGTCCAGGTGAAGGTCCATGGCAGAGTTCAAGTTAATGTCTGTAACATCCAGGAACTCTGTGTTAAAAATGCTCGGTGCACTGGGTGGAGCAACGCTAAAGGCAGTAGCGGAACTGGGAGGTGTCAGGTCCAGCCACTCCATCGTCTCCCACGGCGTCTCGCTGAAGGTCATGCTGACTATCCCCTGCACCTCGGGGACGGCCGACGCCTTGTTGCTGATGGGCGACAGAGGGGTGTCCATCAGATCTCTGCTGGTCAGATGTTTGTCCTGTTGGGGATGGTTCGGGTGGCGGTGGTGGTTGTGGGGGCTGCCGTACCCTTCACCGTCTCTGTTCCCTTTGTCTTCCTGGCCTCCGTCCTCGGTAGCCATTTTAAGAAGAGCCACCTCCCCTCCCCGGCCAATGGGACTGCCCAACAGAGTCTCCAGGTGGCTCTCTGGGATGTGATTGGCCGTGTGGTCGTACGGGTGCTGGGCAGGGGACAGGTGTTCGAAGTGTCGGTGGAACCTCGGGATGAGGAGGCCGGGACACCCTGGAGACACAGTAATGTGAGGCACAACTTTGGTTACAGAGGACCTCTCCCTCTCTTCTCTGGCGTTAGCTGGCATCTCTTGAAGAGAAAGACGAGAGGAGGGAGGGTCACAGCAGGTATCTGATACCAAAGTGTCGGGTAAGACTGTGACTGGCAGGTTTCAACCAGTGCACTTTTGGTTTTTACACTAACTCGCATGTGAAGGGTCAGCAACCCAACTAGATGATAATATTTGTGGAATTTCACCTTACCTCCACTCTCTATGAGCACGTCCAAAAGTTCATCCATCTGCTGGCTTCGGGTCAGTTGCTGTAACAGTAATAAAGAGTGATTCTTTTGGTAATTTAAACAGTATTTTAACAATTAACAAAGTTATCCAAATACATTCAGGATTTTAAATGAAAAATATATGCATAAGCTTTCAAGCAGTACATTAGGACTTGCATTAAAGAGTTACAGTAATACAAACTTCTATTGCAGACAGACCAGTTTATTGGTTGTGATTTTTTTTCTTAAGCATTTCTAGTTTTTCTGGCTAAGGATCGCATTTAAATTCATTCAAAAGAATTAGGTAGGCCATTTTACACAACATGAACTTACAGGCTGTTTTAGGGCAAGCCGAATCTTTGAGCGTGTTCTGACTGCAAGAACCTCCCCCATACAACCTCTTTCAAGGTCGTCTGAGCAGTCCTGAAACACTGCTGTGGGAGTCGTCACATTGATGATTGATTAAATTTAGAGGATATTACCGTTAAACTGGGAGAGAACAGCAAGGGCCGTCTTTCAGTTTGCTCTATACCTGATCACTCTTAGAACCCAGCCACTGATGGATTTAAGACAGTTACTGTCATTTCTTCTGATAATATATTGATTAAAACCATAACTTTAAACAAAGGTCTTATGAAGCTGTTTTTATATTTTAAAAGGATTCTACCTCAGATATATATTATGTGGGACATTTTACAGAAAAGGACATTAAGTCAGTGCTCTGGTGATGTCTGCCTCCAAAAATAGCTTTTACAACTGACATAGCATTCTACATCAGGCTTGGTAAAGGGTGGAAAGTTCAGTGGAAAGTGCAGTGAATAAAGCGATGGATGAAAAGAAGTAGTGCAAGACAAGTGATGGACTTCAAGAGACAAAAAAAAAGAAGAAGACAAGGGTGAAAATTGGAATTAGAACAACGCCAAAAGGTAAAATAAAATCTCTGGCCAGCCATCTCTACTGAATTTTAGTACGGATTTGAGTTTACCTGCTTGACTGCATCCTCATAGCATGGGGGCTGTCTTATGTCAGGTGCATCTGAATCTGAGCTACTGAAGGCAGGGGGAGAGACCTGGCTCTTTTGGGCAACATGCCGAGGAGATGGCAATACTGACATCTATATGAGAAATAAGTGAAAGTGACATTAGCATATCATAGGGGAGCTTACCAAATGTGAGTGTTGCAGATAAAAGGAAATATAAAAAGGCCCTGGTGTTTGAATGAGCTCATCACATTAAATATTCAACGATGAGAAATGGGTTGGCGTTGTGTCACCGACATGTGAAGGAATGTGTGATGAAAATGGAGATTTGACAAGAGTGACAATGGACCTCACAGCAAAAGAAAACTATACAGAGTCAGAGACAGATCACAAATGAACAGAAAAGAGGAAAACAGTTACGTGACTGTGGGGTGATTGAGGTGAAGTACACAACGCTGACGTGACAACACTGCAAATGCTCGTAATGTTGACATTATTTTTTTTTACCTTTGGTTGCATGTTCTGGCTCTCAGCCTTGGCAGAACCGTTATGGTTCAGGCCACAATCAGCTGAGCTGGGGAAGACTCCCTGAAGGCTCCTTTGGTCAGAAGGATAAGCACAGTTCACTGGCTGGCCGCCGCTCTTCTGCTGCATCTGTAGTTCGCCAAACGGAAAGGGAAGACACTCGTTAGCAATTTCACAGATCTAATTTTCAGACATATGAAAAGGGGAACATCATCATGGTAATCATTAGATTACCCATGTTTTCAGCCTAGCTAGCAAGTGAGATTATTGGGTCTGGGTTTAAATATTTCAACAAAACACACATTCGTGGCCCACACATGAAGACTGCTACTGACGCTGGTCATCCCCTGTTTTCTCATGAGGTTGACATTTCTACAGAAACAGTGACCGTAAAACACAAAATAACATAGAAATTCACCATTAAACACCCCCTGTAGGCTGCCACGTTGGTCATTTTCCACTCAGCTGAAATACTGTGTATTTTACATGGCCAGTATATATATATATATATATATCGTATTGGACAGCAATGAATTCGGCCCTGTGTGTTTAATACAAAAGAATTGGTGGAGATAACAGTTTATTTTCTACCACAGTTTGACTAATTATACTAATGATACAGGACACTGCAACACAACAGGAGGCTCAGTGACTTTTTTTCCAGCACCACAGTGCAAACCCAGCAGTCTTGAGTATGATAATGACTGTGATTGCAGTAATGTCTGTGCTCACGCTGCCTTTTTCCTTTTTATTTACACACTGAGCTCTGGCAACAGAGCAGCTTAACCTAAGTACAGCCTCTCCGAGCCTGGCATAGTCACAGTTGAATTGCTTTTTTATTTTAAACGCTGATATAATGTCACACACTTTTTGATTTGGGTTTTCGACAGAACAGCTAAACATGGTGCTTCTAGGCAAGGCATCATACCTGCATGTTGCGTGCCCTGTTGTTGCCCTGGGCGTGGGGGAGACTGCATCCGTCTCTTCCCAGCGGCGGAGACAACAGGTAGGGGTTATTGGGAGATGAAGGCTGGGGGCTGCCAGAAGTTTTTCCAATGGGAGAGTCTTGTGGTGAGCACTGCGGGCTAAGGAAGGCAGACATAGTGGAGGGGCTGCCAGAAGAAGGGCCTGTGTCCATACATTGTGGCCCACCGGGACCCCCCATGTTGGCCATCGGAGTGTTGCAGTGTCCCATATCCTCCATGCAGCTTCCAGGAGGACTCTTGAGCTGTTTGGGAGAAGACAGAGGGCAGCTGGACGACATGGACATGGGCTCTTGCTTGATTGTCACGCCGAAAAAATGCTGGCTCATCATGGCTGGAGTCTGCTGCTGGTGGTGCATGGAGGGATGAGATGAAGGAGGGGCGGCGTCCTGTGTAGCTCCATAGCAGCGTTTCCTCTTGTGGAGCTGCATCTTCAGCTCTTCAACCTAACAAGCATGGTCACAGAGGTAAATCTGTCAAATTACTACTCATTTACAACACATCTATGGTATAAATAATGAAATGAATGCTTCAGCTGCTCACAATGAATGGAACTCAGCCATTCATGAGTTGAACACATGAGATGTTTCTATGATCAAAATGGCTGCTGTTTAACAGCTCTGAATAATGGGAGCTTATTTTCTTTCTCTCTTTCCCTCCATAAGGTATTTGGAGCTACAGCTGATTACACTTGAGGGTAATCAGTCATTCAGTTAGAGATAAATTCATCTCCTGGTTCCAGGAATTAAAAAATATGACACATTAGAAGCAGCCATTGACCAAAGCTTCATGAATTGTAGAAAAGGAAGTAATTCACAATGAAAAACAAAAACATGCTCTTTTGCCGTCTTATTTCGTGATCATTAATGAATATCTCAGTCTGAGCAACTTAAGACTGATACGATATTAAAGAACAACACTTCATCAGACCGTCCCCCACCTGTCTCTGCTCCTGGTGCAGCTTCCATGTCAGTTCCTCGATCACCTTCTGCTTTTCCACCAGCATCTTGTCTTTTTCAGCTTCCAGACCATCCATACCTCCACCCTCCCCTCCTCTCGGTCCTCCCCCGCCCAGGTTGCCACCACCTCCTCCTCCTCCTCCTCCTCCTCCCAGGTCATCCTCCATGCTGAGCTGAGCCGGGGATGGCTGCAGGGCGAACTGTGTTGGTGACGACATGGGCACATCGCTGAAGCTGTCGGGCAGCGAGCCGCTGAGGGACAGCTCCGAGGAGGCCGGTGAGATTGGCGGGGTGGAGGAGGTGCTGGGGTAAGGGTAGTATCCTCCCTGCGACAGAGCGCTGGAGGAGGATGGAGACTGGTAGGAGGACAGGGAACCAGTGGGTGTGACAGGGAAGGTCACAGTGGTGATGTCAGAGGACCCTGAGGGTGAGGAGCCAGCTGTGGAGTCCTTGAAGGGTCGGAGTCGCTCGATGAGGGCGGTTTTGGTGCCTGAGACAGGCATGCCGCGAATACGTAGGTGCTGCCTGAGCTCTGAAACCTGACAGAGCAAAGACAAAGCCATTGGATTAGATGTCATTTGATTGGCAGTAAAGCTTGTCTACCTGAAGCTAATCCCATTAGTACCTACTTTTAAGTCATCCAGATTAGCTGGCAGGGGCCCAGGTTTGACCGGTGAGATGTTGCTTTGGTTAGGATAGTTGTTCTTGACTGGAGAGGATGAGTTACTGTTGGCTGTGCTGGACGGACCACTGGAGCTACAAGCTGACAACTGCTCACTGGCTCCTCTGAAATGGAAGGATTGGAATTGGTTGGTCACTTACAGCAGAAGTGAAAATACACAGATAAGCCAAAACATTCTGACCACTCACAGATGAACCAAACGATGTAGATTATTTTATTATGGCACATGTCAACGTCTGGGATGGAAGGTAAACAGTCAGTTCCTGTGATGAGTGTTTTGGATGTTGGCAAAATGGACATTAACGATGTATCAAACAACATTATGTGTAATATGAAAGGAGTCACTTTGGTGTGACAGAAAATGATCACCTAACTCTGCTGCTCTCCATTTCAGCTCATTGTTTCAGTATTATGGCCTGTAGCTTTACTATTCCTTCATCAGTGTCATTTCCAGATGCAGTGTTTTTCAGTTAAAAAGCCAAGATTAAGACATTATTCACTGTTTGTACACCACCTAAGCAAAGCAAACACAGTTAATGTTGGGTTTATTTCTTGTTTTTGCTGCCACCAAGTGGCCCAAAATCAGTTGATGCAGATTTAATTTTCACTGTGGACACGATTGAGGAGTCTAAACACTCTAAAGACTTGTTAGGCTTAATAATTGGACATGACTTGATTTATTTTTCTCTGGTAAGAGAGGAAAACACTCCTGATTGTTTATTACTGACTATATTTCTTAACAGCATATTAGATGCACTACTTAGTTACATTACTCCTTAATAATGACTGCTATAGTTTGTTGAAAAATGTGATACCCAGAGGTACGTATTAATGAGTTACTACTGTAGACCTGTAGACTTCATTAGAAAGTGACCCTTTATTATTAATGTACTGAATGATACCTTCAAGTAAGACTTTTGTTCTACACATTCAAAGTCAACAGTTGTTGACCTCGAGCTCAGCTCAAAATCAAATGACTTGCTTGTTCCACAGCTTTTGACTACACACAGTATTCATCACCCTTTATGAAGACTGGCTTGTGTGATATGGTCAGAAGGTCCAGAACAAGGTTGTGAGTGAACTATTCATTTACTCCAAAGGTCATTCTAAGAGCTGAAACTACTGGCTTCACATGGAGTAGATGCTAAGCAAATGTAATTTACTGGTTGGTAGTAAGTGGCCCTTGAGTGACGACTGTTTGATCAGTTTGGTTGCTATCATTGGCCCATGACTTACTTCTGGGAGTGGGCCGGCGGATGAGGCTGGTAGCTGAATGCAGGCTGCCTCTGCTGAAGCTGGGCCTGCGTCTGCGGAGTGTGTGCGTGCTGCTGTTGCGACTGCTGCGTCTGCGAATGTGTGTTAGCGTGTTTCTGCTGGCTGAGGATCTGCAGCTGCAGGAAGAGCTGCTGCTGCTGGAGGAGTCGGGCGTAGGCCGAGTCCATGGGTGGAGGGGACTTCTCTGCCTTCTGGTCCGGAGGAATGTACTGGTGGTACTTGAGCTTCTTCACTTTGGGCTTCACATCTTTGGGCTTCTTGTGTCGGTTCTTGTCTGACGTCTTGGACTGTTCAGGGGGAAGAAGGTGAGATGGTCTATACCAGGAGAAGCTTTACATTTGTAAAAGTTAAAAGAAAGATGGCAGTAAGTGAAGGGACTGGCTAACCTTGACAATAGCAGGAACTGGTATTGGGGGAGTTGCCTGGCTGATGGCACCGGAAAGCCCTTCATCGTGGCTTTGATCAGGTGGGTCTCTGGCTGCACCGCCCTGTCCAGAAATAAAAACAAGATATATGTTGTTGCAAGCTTATTACAAAGTCCCTCATTGCTTAACCCTTTTCATTCTGGAAGTTTCTGTACTGGGACAAAGCCACATTCTATTTTTGAAATGTGTCACAGATGAATAATCTGCCTCGTACAACTATAACTACAATAGATGCAGATTTGTTGTTCCTGATTCTGCTGCATTAAATTGGGAGCTGACGCTGACAATTTTCAACAATAGCTTTAATAACATTAGTGTAACTGAAGTAAAAATGTCCACTTTCAATTTTTTAAGTTGTTAAGTGGTTTGTATGTCCAGAACTCTTCCAAACATAAATTTCTTAAATGTTTATTTATAAAACTAATATCTTTAAATATGGTGTTCCTAGATGATATTTTTGTCATTTGGAATAAGAAAAAGTTCAGTTTTTTATTTAGGTAGCTGCAAAATAATTCTGAGAGTCTGCAGCCACAACTTGACACGTTTTACAGCAGCATGGAAAAGTCTTCATGTCCTTTTTTCTTGCGCAAAAGGGTTAATTAAAATGGACTAAATTAACTTTTCAATCTACAGTAGGCCCTGCGATCGACTGGCGACCTGTCCAGGGTGTCCCCTGCCTTAGCCCTAAGTCAGCTGGGATAGACTCCAGCCCCCCCGCGACCCTAGTGAGGATTAAGCGGTGTATAGATGATGGATGGATGGATGGAATCTACAGTAAATCAAAATGTCAAAGTATAATTGCATTTCTTGTTTGTTTTGTTGTTTTATTGCAGTTAAAAATCCAAAACTTCACATGAATTTTAAGTCCAAACTGAGCTCAGATTCTATTTGCTTCAGGATGATCCCGGAACCTTTGGCAAATTCAGCTGACTGGACATGAGTTACAAAGGCACACAGCAATGTATAGACCAGCTCACAGTGATAAAACATCAGCAGAGTCCCCCTTATGACCCAACAACCCTACTTTTTGCAGGAATTTAGTCCAGTTGAACTTTAATTTCTGCTACTTTATATTTCTGCTTCACCATTTAACTGTAAAGCACTGTACCTTTTACTTCACTGCATCAACCTGTTAGCCTATAATTATGAAAACAACATACGATGCGTTTTCATCAAGTGAACTATACCAGCCAGCCCGACATAAAATAGATTAGCTTCACTGCAACATTAACATGCTTGCAAGTTAATGTTTTAATAGTAATAATAATCATAATCCCAAAGCAAAAAAGGTAAACTGCCTACATAATTAGTACACACATTTTGTAGTTAATAAACTACATTATTTAAATAGAATTTGAAATGACTTTTACTTAGTTTACTTTGTCCTGAATTGTGGTGTTGCTACTTTTAATGCAGCAACATGTAAAATGATCTGATTAACTTGTCCACCACTGGCTGTGGGGAACATTAAAAACAACGAATCCAATAGTCTGATGTTTGACAAAATATTTCAAGGTGAACCAAACAATGTCAACCTGAGTTAACAAGTAAATGGATCTCCAAAGTCAGCAGGATTCATGTTGATCCTGTACCAAATTTGATGGCATCCTCCACTAGCCACAGAAACACTAAAGAAATATTTTATGGATCAAAACCAAAAATAATAAACCACGACTTGGAGGATGCATTCTAAAATGCTTTCCTAAGTGCTTCATTCGGTAAACTGGTCTGTTTAGAAGCTGGGTTTCTCTCTCTTTGTTTTATAGCGTTTCTCTCCCATTGACAGAAACCTGGTGCCAAACATGACTAAACATGTACATGACAGTGTATAATAAAAGTGAATCATTTTATTTACTTCAATATTATTTTTGACTCTGGCAGGGTTTTTTTTTTTTTTTGTGTGCAATTTTTGCCTTAATGAATGTCACTGACTGTATGTGTTTTCTTCACCTGAAGCAGGCAGGGAGAGTGAGTTTGTAATTCAAATGGATTCATTATCCCCAAAAATGCACATGTATTGATGTTTCCTCTGCAAAAGTATTCCAGAAAACTCTAAACAGACCTTTCAGACTGACACGATGCAGAGAGAGCTGATGATTCAGTTGGAACATTTAAGAGGTACAAGTCTAAGAGATATAAACAACCGCGTTCTGGCATGAATTTCAATCAAGTGACCGTTACTGATGGGGACCGATGGAATGGGGTCATCGTGAGCGAACGGTAAGCAGTGAGGATATAAAGGCAGCTGTGCCTGCAGGACGCTCAGCCTGCAGGAATGTGACACCTGCCTAGTTCAACTGGGTCCAACGGTCAGCGGATACCAGGGGAGGGTGCAGTATGTTCTGCTACCACAGGGGGGCAGGAGAAGCAAAGCAGTGGCAACAACCGTTGGAGGCGGCAAATTCAGAGTAAAAGACAGATGGAGGGAACAGAGAAGGGTTGTGAGTGTTATTTTTACCTGACGTGGGCTGGTGAGGGCAGGTGAGGAGGAGGAGGAGGCCGTGCTGCCGACAGCCTCAGACGAAGGGCAGGCCGAGCCCTGCGACTCATCACTGTGGTGCTGCTCTGGAGACAGACTCTCACTGCTGCTGTCCTCCTCAAACGCATAAGAGTCCTCTTGCTTGGGGAACTTGCCATGGTTTACTGTAAGAAGAACAAAAGGAGAGGCGGGTGGGGGCATCAGCAAGGTGCAACCTGGTATTAACAGGCATCTGTGTCCAGGTGACACATCTGGATAACAGAGGATGTATGTCAGTCAAAGGTGTAAATGTACACTGAATGCAATGAGACTGGATCAGTCGGAGCACATTTGGATGTGATGAGGGCCCATTTGGGATCACATCTTAGCAGATGTTTATGATTCTGTGCAGCGCGAACACATAAATACAAGCAAACTGAAAGGTCACCTAACTCCAGACAAAAGCCTCAGGAAATGTCATTATGGTTAGCAGCATTGCTTCTTTGACGAGGGGTGTAACCGTGTAACTACCAGCATGCTGAGATCAAATCAAATAAAATAAGGGACACGATCAAGATAACAGGAACATGCTCTAATGCCTGGTTTAAATGCAGATACAGTCAGTGTCCAGAAAGCACATCCAGATACAGATCACATGATAACACCTGGTGTAAATGTGGCACCAGACGAAGCTGAGACAAGGAGGACTGATAGTAAAGCATGCTTTTTTATGATAAGTCCAGTTGGTTACAATGTGTTTTAGCCGTTTGGTGTTGTGAGGTCATGTACCATCTGAATTTGCTAAAAAAAAAACAGTCAACTGGAAAAAGAAACAGATGATAAACCACTTAATCTGGAATCAAAAATGAACTCACAAAGTCTCTAATAATTCTCCACTGGACAGGAACAAAGTGCCTGAACCACAAAAGTCTGTCTGTAAACTGTGATGGCAGCTGACTAAGAATTTAAACATTTGATTCTCTTTTGCCTTGTCTTCCAAATAAGTTTGGCTAACCTGGTGAACATGTATAACCTTGAGGGCTACAAGTACAAAAATGAGACCCAAGTTCACAGTTTGATTATCAAGCAGCAGCAAGGCCCCCAGGCCTTCAGGGGCCAATGAGGTACCAGCCACAGTTAGTTTATGATAATTTATTAATTACAGGTTTGCTTCTTTGTATTTTATGGACCACTAGAGCACATTATGAACTGAAATGATAGCTGCCTAAAGGTGACTGCTTAAATCGAACGTCCTAACCTCCCACTAGTGTGTTGTTAGAAAGGCTGAAGGTCACGTTTGTCTCATTGAATTAGGATGGCAGCTATGTGTCTTATGCTTAAATGGATGAGTCCTTCCAGAGGTCCTTTGAAAATCAGCAGCTGTTTGGAAACTGTATTTCAAATGACTGTCTCAGAAGTATCATATTAAAAAAGTTGTTCTGAAGATGTTTCAGCAACAATATGGTGTCCAAGTTGTAGTATGGTTTCCAAAACTCTGGTGAAGGAATATTAAGGTAGTTATAGTGTCAGGGTCCTTAGGCAGCAGTTACAGTCGTCTTTCTAAATTAAAAACCTGTTTTAAAGTCTTTGAATTCACCTGATATTGTGCCTACATGATGCATTTTAGGAAAAAAGGTCGGGGCTTCCTCGTGGGTTAATCATGTCCTGCTAACATTCAATAGACACGAGTTATCCTTTGCTTTTAAATGTACATATATATATATACATACATATATATATAGCAGTGTGTGTTTGTAAGGGTTGGTTTATGAGCTGACTGGATGCATATCACACAATGTATGCGATCTCAAGTATTCACACGCTGCCTGTCTGTCACTGACACCTAGTGAGACACTCAGCTCGGAGGTGTTACGCTGTGCGGGTGAGACACCGACACGACCACTTTACCTCCGCCACGTTTCTGATTGGCTGGACTGATAGGGAACAAGGCTTTGATTGGAGCAGCTAAGAGCAGCTATCTAACGGAGCTGAAGGGACGGAGGTAGAGGAGGGAGGTGGTAAAGGTTGGTGTGTGTGTGTGTGCAGTGGTATAAGATTCTCTTTTTGTATCCAAACATGTGACAGCCCAGAACAGACCCTGGTTTCAATCACAGTACCAGGCCCATTCTGTGCAACTCAATAACCTTGCAATACACACAAACACACAGACACACACGGACACACACACACAGCTTAACACTCAACTTAGTACACAGCATTGTCCTAAATGTCATTTCCTCCCACCTGTTCATGTTTAACTCTGTGCAGTCACACACAGCAGCATGTGTGAATCTGCTCGTCTCGGTGTATTCGCCCTCTGCTGCACGCACTCCTGTTTCCGTGAATCTTTGAGATAATTTGATGTCATCGGGAGATTGAGTTGGCAGAACTACAGGAAATCTGCATGCCTGCGTACATTTCCGCTTTTCAAGTGGCTGGTTTCAAAGTTATGGCAGGTCGCGCACTTTCCAAACTGACTGGACAGTGGTTGGAACGAGCGCTGGGAGTGTTGTGTAAGGAGATCTAGAGCTTTAAGGTGAGGGGTTAATGCTGCAAGCGAGGGGGAACGCAACAGCCTGGTTCTGTCACACGACTTTGTAGGTGGCTCAGTGGAGCCAGTCAAAGCAGACACAAAAGAGGGGAGGAGAGGGAAGGTACAAACATACACACAGGTACACCCACACATACACTACACAGGGATACACATGTTGTGCACTTCTAAAGAAAAAGGGTGGATCCAAATACAGCTGCTGTTCATCTCAATAAACGCAGCTCCCTCCTCCTGCAGAGGTAGTGTAAACCAGCTGACTGCAGTCCTTTACGCAACATGTTTACTGGAGGCTCAAGGGGGCAAACATAAAACCGCTAAAACACCAGAGTCTAAAGAACACTACTTACACTGCCAAGAGTGATACAGAGAGAGTGAGTAACATGTCGGCGGGGTTAGAAGACAAACAGCGTGCGGTCAGAGCGGCACAGTGGGACGACTCGGGCCCGACTCGCCGCACAACACTACATCATCGCTCTGTCAAAGCATATATGCTGTGCATTTCCTTAAATCAAACCCAGGAGGAGGTGGACATCTCAAGAGGGCTCCCCAAACACTTGAGTCCAGAATATACACGTATAAATACTGATGGCAAAGCATCTCTTTTTGATGAAAATTGCCTAACATTAACATTTTTTGGAGATCCACACCGGTCTCAAAAGAAATTTTGGTAATAAGCAGGATTACTAAAAATGTAAATAAAATTTTTTGTGCTACAAGTACAAACAAATACTTCTCCCTGCAAGAGATTTGGATGATGTTACGGACAGGAAGCAGGTACTTTGATGTGAAGGTGGAGAGGCCAAAGGGTCAACTCTTCAATTACCAGCATGTGAATCATTTTTCCTCAAAGCCAGTTGTTCAAACTTTACAACAGAGGATATTCATGACAAATGACAAGTCAATCATCCTTCATATATGATGATAGGACTCATGGGTTTCTGCAGTGGGAAGGCTTAATGAATTCTAATACAAAGTTTTCAGTTCATCAGATCTGCAGATGAAAATATCAGTTCTTATGGAATTTGCTCCAATCAACCAAAACATTTGTCTTATTAATGGCTCATAACTGCTGTATAGAGCTGTAGTAAACAGCTCATTAGCTGTAAAAGAGCCACAAGTAAAAAGAAAAACAGTCCTGACACCCACGAATGCATGGTTGTTGCTCTTACACTACTGTTCTGGTCCGTGGCAGTCTGCTTGTAAGACTTTGTT